TAATGATAAACTAGCAAGTGACGCCTAGAATCTCCTTCATTACTTTACAAATAATAAGCCAAATAACGACTACAATCTAGCCATCTACTCTATTTCCAAATAGACTACCATAGACTGACTACCGTCTATCCTATTTGCCAACCCAGTACAACCATGACAGAAAATGCCATATCACAAATCATCAAGCAATGTTTCGTGCATTATATGGCAAGTTCCACAACAGAAGTATGGACTCGGCTTCATCTTAACGACATCATCCGAAAATGGCTGTATTCGCCCACAGTAACCCTTCGTTGACGGCGGTCACAATCTGTCTCTCTCAGTCCTTGCTTTGGAATATATACTTTTCCTAAGTAACGCTCACCTTGGCTGTTTGTCCTACTTCTTCATGCTACTAGGTTCTACTTCTCTCCTTTGTACCTGAGTTCATGAAACTGTGTCTTATAAGGTTCATTAACCTTTCTCTTTTCCGCCAAAGAGGGGTTTCCAAGCCGCTTTACATAAATGGATGGAGAAACCCCAGGAAATCTTTGTTCGTTGTCTCTTAGGTCCTGTCTTTATAAATTTATGATAGAAAGAGTCAACCAGTTAACCTTAGCTAGCCTTCCTTTGTAAGTGTTACTTCCACGTTAGCCCCCAGGTTTCTAGGTCATTGACTTTAGATACCCTCTTGTAAACATATAACAGAAACTTTAGGTTCATTGTTCTTTGTATGGCTGGGTTTACCCCTGCCTTAACTAGAACATTCGTCAGATGGACACACCATCTCATCTGTTGAACTGTATGCCTCGTTTCAGTCGTAGTCTTCTCCTAGTGTCTTTATTTTCAATTTCATCTCTTCTTGTTGCTCTGGCAACTTTTCTAAGAATCTAATCTGTTTTATGATTTTGCACTCATTCTTTCTTTCTTTCTTTTGTCGTCTTACTGAAACCAGGTTGTAGCCCAGTGTCATAGTTTTATGCATTTGTCATGCGCTTCTAGGGTGGCTTGGGTGATGGATTTGTTAATCTTTGTTTCTGCTACACTATTAATCCATCTCTTTTTCGTCTTCCTCTCACCTTCCTCCCAGATGTTCTACTGTAAAAAAGTCTCATACACAGTTTGGTCTGGCTGCATTCTCACTAGATGACTAAACCATTTCATTCCTTGTCGGTCAATATAATCCAGACATGGTCTTTTCTGACTTTCTCTCTAATGCTGGTATTTGTAACCCTGTCTCTTCTTGTGTTGTTAGTGACTTTGCGGATAGCGCATTTCACATGTAGTTATTTTCTGTTGTACTCATTACTTCTAGTAAAGATCCTTGTTTGACAGTGATAGCATAATGTTGACACACACAAAAATAGTTCTTATTAGATTTGCCTGTGTGTCAAAAGTGGTGTTGTTCCAGTACCAGATTAGAATATTACTGGTAAAGCTAGATGACACACATTGTGATGTCAGTGTCATTTAGGCATTATGTCATCTTCAAGGCCAAAGGCCCAAACCGCAGCAAAGAAAGATAATTAATACAATACAGTTAGCAATGATCTGAGGACCTTGCAGGCCGGATTCGACCCTTGGACCACAAGTTGAATAGCACTGGGTTACACAATATAGTGACGTGGATGGTATTTTGTTTATGTTGCTTAAACCAGATAGAACAACATGTTACTTTGTAACTGACGAGGACCTCGGTGTAACTCTTTTATACTGTTGAATGGAGTGTCTAGAATTTGTGTGTTGAATTTATATCCTAAAATTAGTGCTTTGAGTCATTGGGCATCAGTCTTTTGGGCTGCAAGTGCAGATGTAGAATACAAATTTGAAGGGGAAAAAAACAACCTCTTTGTAGTACCTTGATTGGGAAGCTAGACGATCGTGGATTAAAAGCTGAACAGAGCCTTTCTTTTTAGAAGTGACCTTGGCTCCCAGGTCAACTCAGCCTTAAATGAATGTCAGGTGAAGTCCTGGGAAGTAAAGACGACCAGCGTGATGTTAACCTATCGTGTGCCAGTTGGTCTGCAAAATATAGGTCTAGTACTATAAGCCCAGAGGGAGTCCTTTACCTGTGGCAGCTTGATGAAGTGCCCCTTCCCAAAGATGTTTGCACAGTATGAAATTCTGAAATAGTGGAGCATTTGGAATAAGGATGCACAGTTGTAGAGTGGCAGATGTCCCAGTGGCTGTTGGAAACATTTGGTATCACTAACAACAGATAAAATTATCGATATGGAAGAATCATGACAGTAAGATTAGCAACCTGTTTTTCTACATCTTCATTGATAGAAGATTTTGGCTTGCTTTAAAAAAAAGTCACAAAAACTACCACACAGACTGCTACAGTCATCAGAGATTAGTAAAAGGCAAAATAGATAATAAAGTTAAGGATAGTCATATATAAACTGAGAAACATTAAATTGGATCTGGAAAAAAAAAGAGATAAAAGACACATTCATCATTTAATTATAGGTCGTTATTTATATATTATCCGATCTTGAAATTATGTTTGAAGATGTTAATTATCAATATTTGTTTGTTCTTTATGAACAAAAAAATTCATCAATGGTAAATGTTGAATAGCTCTTTAGTCTCAGTCTTAGTCGAGGTTTCAATTTCACAGTCGGGTCACCCCATACTTGCTCCATTCCCGTGCCAGTGAAAATCAAATGAAATGTCCTTCACTGTCGCATTTGAAAAACTGATGAACAAACAATTGTCCCGGAACAATCCAGAAAAATGCACTCATACTAAGTGCATATGGCAGTTGCTAGAGGCGCCAAAGCCAACATTTGCCACCAGAAATGCAGTTTGTTATTGATGGAAGTAGTCGGGCACGATAAGTTTGCCATTTGTCGCGTGCGAATGTGCACCAGAACGCACCAGTACGGAGTGAGCAAATAAGACGTCAAAACAATACGTAACGTTGTTATGATAATGTTGTTGTAAAAAGCAGTTGATGTTTATAGTCCGAAGGAGACGGACGTGGGAATCCTTGAGGACGCTTTACCCCGGGATCCCACGGAAACAAACGTTATATAAAGTTGGATCCTTGAGGACGTTTTACCCCGGGACTCCAAGACCTCAGCAGGAAGCTGGTGAATACTACATTTTCGGCAGTATGCCGGTATACTTTCCTTGCTTAATTCGGACTTGTCCGAGGACCAAGATGATTGTCATGATCTCAAGGTCGGACTGCGACCTATCGTGAGGACATATCAATACATGGATGTACGAGTGAGCTTTGGTTGAACGAGTTGATTATTGATTGCATACGTATTCTTGTGTTGATCATTGCTGATTGTATATATTAATACAACCATTGGAACTTAACGCATAGCGTTCGAGCTCTACATTTTGAAAGCATTGAAGTAACTACTGTTTTACCCCTACTTGGCCTATTTCATCTTGGTACCACACACATCAGCATGAAGCTCTGCACGTCACACTATTCACACGTAAGAACAAAAGGATGGCTCTCTAGAACAAGGGGACTGACTCCTCAGACCAAAGGGCTGGCTCTGAAATTTTCAAATTTTTTGTCTACCTGTGCCTGATCATTTGAGATTGCGAACTGTGACCACCCATTCTTATCCTCTTGGCACATGATGATGGTAATAAGAGCAAATAAAATAGTTCCACATTGACTAAAGTTAGCTTAGTTGTTAAACTTCTAGAATGAGCTGGTGATAACAGGATAGTTGTGTGTCACTTGTTGAACATGTGTGTTTGTGCTCGCACGTGTGTCGAATGACATGTGCATGTTTAACTGAGAAAGTGGCCCGGCTCTCTAGCGTAGTTGGTTAAAGCTGACTTCGCGGTGACCAGGTGACGAACTCCTTGTGGTCCGGGTTCACTCTCGGGGGTAGGCAGAAAAGCCATAGTTCCCCAAGATTTAGGGTATCTATCATGGAATCAATGCCGAAGGGTTGCGATATCCATAGTACCGAGCCAAAGGGTTAACAACCCGTTGTTTCTGGATATTTTTTTTTTAATGAGAAAGGGAAGAATCATTTGGCTTGACAGCATTAATTTACGAGAGAGGAATCTTTTGAGACTCAACTTCCGTTCACTGAAAAAAAAAATTATTAAATGCACAGGCTAAGGCAACTTATTACAAACATCAAAAAAGCAGTCATGATTTTGTGACCATATTATAAGAAAAAAATCTGGAACATAATATGACAGCTGGAAAGATTTAGGAAGACACAAAAAAATAAAGATTCTTGAAAGCCATTTGTTATGTCATATGAGGGGGTCAGCACACACTGTTAAAGATCACAGGATGCGCGAAAGTATAGCACTTGATGATGATAATGATAATTTATTTTTGTTATTACTGAGTTATTTGTTATCTTTGGTTTGTACTGATTCACTTATGGGTTAGGTACCCAAACACAAGGAAACCCAGAATCCCCACACTGAAGTGCACTTTTCTAGGGGTGTTATGATATGACTTCATTCAGTGTTCACACAATGTGCAGAAAAGTTTGTGCACTGGGTGGAAAAACTGGTGTGCATGTGAAAATAAGAAGAGCAGGGAGACTAGGAGTTTGGAGAAAAAGAAGGATACCTTTTTTTTAAAATTTTTTTAGCATGTTTTTCTGCTTCCCCATTGTGTTATGATTTGTAATCACAGTTCATTGTATTAATTACCCCAAATACAGACAATATATTTTTACTCTTCTTCTATGGCATTCGATCTCATATGCTCAGGTCAGGTCATCAGGTGGGCTGCCTTTATGAACTTGCATGTCATTTTTGCAGGTCCTCCATGGTTCCCCATAGCTTGCAGAGCACCATTTGCTCTTGAGGCCGGGTTTCTCTTTGTAGGTGTAAGTTTGCAGCCTGCAGAATGTGCTCAGGTGTTTCCAGTCCCGTCTTGACATGCACACATGCAATATAGATTGACAGTTGAAGTGACAGCTTTTGTTTCAATTTTTTTTTTAGGTGATGTCTGAGACAATTATGTGAGTGCAGCTGAAGCCGGGACCTAGTTTGCTATAAAGACAACTGGCCAGATGATTGCCAGGTCGCCATGGGATCGACTGAAGACCAAAAATTTCTATATGATCCTAGTCCTTGTGGCAGTGTCTACGGTGGCCGTTTGGATCCTATCCTCTCCATCACCAAATTTACAGACCATTGTCAGCAAAACCCAGTCAGGCATCAAGATGGCATCAAGCTTGCAAATAAAAGGTACTACTTCGAGCCATTCATTTATTTGTTTGTTCGTTCGTTGTCCTGTTTTGCTGTTATGTGTCACATAGGACCATTTTCCATGCTTGCAGGCATATTAATCGTATAGGGATAGACCTATATTTTATAGACCTGTCAGCACTCGTATCTTAAGGTCTTGGGTTCAGGTCATTAGGGATCTAGGCTGTTTTTTTTTTTTTAAAGAAATGACCTTGGCTCCCTAGTCAACCCAACTTTAAGTGGGTACCAGGTGGAGTTCTGGGAAATGAAGGCAGCCGGCTTGATCTACACCACCCACTGAGTGCTAATTGCTCTATAAAATATAAGTCTGGTCCTATAAGTCTGAAGATGTGGGGAAAGTCCTTTACTTTTTTCCCTTTAGAACCACAAACTGCCAACACATGCTGGAGTTGACTTGCAACATCCTCTAAAGGATAAGCATTATAAATTCAGATCACAACCCTGTGGTAATAAAAATACAAATTAAACTTAAAAACGCAGGAATAAAAACGCTAAGGTCACCCCCACATAGACATATGAGCTTTGAAACAGCCAGAAATAAGCCAGCAGTACTTAGTGGAGGTTAAAAATAAATATGACTGATTAATAGTTGAAAGCATGGAACAATATCAACGGGAGAATCCAGAGGACAAAATTAATACAAAATGGGAATGTTTCAAAACTAGTATAGAAACAACTAATGCCATCTTACCAGTGAAAGAAAACAAGAAAAATCAAGTATGGATGACTGAGGAAATTATTAACAAAATGATACAAAGGAAGAAAGCAAAAAACACTCCAGAATATTCATTAATAGACAAAGAAATATCAAATATGTGTAGAACTGCTAAGGAAACATGGATTCAGTTAAAATGCGAAGAAATAGAGGATCTTGAAATAAAACACAGAACCAAGGAAATACATGCAAATATAAGAAAACTTACAAACAAGGAAAAACATTTAACAGGAAATGGTTGTATTGGGGGAAGGATGGAAAAATTATTGTTGATAAGAAAGATATAATATAAAGATGGACTGAATACACAGAAGACCTGTTTTGGGACAACAGAGGTGACAAACCGTCAATCCATAATATTCAAGAGGGGCCAAACATATTAAAGTCTGAAGTAGAGAAAGCCATTAAACAGATGAAGCTTGGAAAAGCTGCAGGTCCAGACAACATAACTGCAGAAATGTTAAAATCATTATCTACTTTTAGAATTGATACTATCACAGAAATATGCAATGACATTTATAAATATGTTAGTTAGTTAGTTAGTTAGTTGGGTTATCATCATTGCACTCCGGACATGTCCATAGGTGCTCAGATCCTCCCCTCAGTATGAATCCCAACGTCCGATGGCTAATAGTACCAGTTCTATGTTGATTAACAAGTCTTCTGACGTGTCCGGTGTGCGTCTCGTTTTTTGCTGTGCCGATCTTAATTCCCAAGTCTGCCATCCTGGCGAGTGATGTGGATTCACTGCCACCAAAGTCCTCTATCCTTCCCATTTCTCTGAGGGCATTGATAATATCAGCATGATCCATAGGCCGACCGTCGGTAGTGATAGCGGATCCAGCCAACCTGTCAGCTCTTTCATTTCCATCGACGCCTGCGTGTCCCGGAACAAAAATAAAGGTGACTCCTCGCACAGTGGACTTCTGAATTGATTCAAGCCATTGTCTTCGCACCGAACCTGCCTGAACCCTCCGGATATTTATAAATATGTGTACATTCCCAGGAACATGAAAACATCTGTTTTTATCACACTACCCAAGAAATCAAACGCTGTTGATTGTGAAGATTACAGAACTATTGGCCTAATGAGTCACATAACTAAGTTACTCTTGAAGATGATACAAGCAAGAATTCAAAATAAAATAGATAAAGAAGTTTCTGAAGAGCAATTTGGATTCCGTAAAAACAGTGGTACTCGAGAGGCCATAATTTGTCTAAAGATGCTGACTGAAAAATATATAGAAGTTCAGAAAAATATTTATGCATGTTTTATAGATTACAAAAAAGCTTTCGACAGAGTGCAACATGAACAACTAATTGCAGCTCTTCAAAACATAGGACTAGATGGAAAGGATATCAGACTTATTAGAAACTTATACTGGGAGCAAGAAGCAACAGTAAGATATGACATCTGCTCACACCAGATAGAGATCAAGAGAGGAGTAAGACAAGGATGTGTGCTGTCGCCTATCCTTTTCAACGTATGTACAGAAACCATTTTTAAAGAAATTGTAGAATTACCAGGACTGCACATGTGAGCAGGAGTTGCAAGACCTAGTGGAGCAAGTAAACAGAAGGAGTGCAGAATTTGGATTAGATATTAATTTGAAAAAGACAAAAACCATGATATTTAGCAAAGAAAATAATCAGCTAACAATGAATATCACAGTGAACGGGGTGAAATTGGAACAAGCTAAAAATTTCTTATATCTTGGACAAGTAATAACATATGACGGCAGAAGTGAAACAGAAGTCAAGAAAAGAATAGGGATGGCCAAAAACATTTTCAACAACATGCAAAAGTTACTGACATCAAGAGAAATAAGCAATACATTAAAAATGAGAATTGTCAAATGTTTTGTATTCTCAACCTTACTGTATGGCACAGAGACATGGACATACAACTGGAAAATCGTATCAATTCTATAGAAATGTGGATATACAGAAGATTAGGTCATATTTCATGGAAACAAAAGCTATCAAATACAGAGGTACTGAGGAAATTGGGAATGAAAAGAGAGTTGCTAGGTGAAATAAAAAATAGACAAGTGAAATATTTTGGCCACATTAAAAGACATAACAGTATTGTAAAGATCATCCTAGAGGGAAAGGTTCAAGGTAGGCGAGCAAGAGGCAGACAGCGTTACAAGTGGGAGGATAACATCAAGAGATGGACGAACAGCAGTATGAGTGAGTGTACATCAAGGGCAAGAGACAGGGCTTGTTGGAGATCCATTGCAGCCAACCTTCATTGTGGAGACGGCACCTGATTGATTGAAAGGATAAGCAGTTAACTTTTGTTTTCCTAAACGGAGATATGGAAGTGACGTTAGGAATGCATTTGCTTTCTGGCCTAGTGACCATGGGTTGAAATCCACATCAGTGTGTAGATTTTTTTAAAATAATGTGCTGTCTGTAGCCAGGCCAGCTAAAGAGTGCTGGGAAATGTCCTGGAAGGTAAAGGTGGTAGCTGGTATGATACTGACCATATCATCCAAAGATTGCAGATTGCTCTAGAAAAATCTGAGGCTTAGTTTCAAATGACTGAAAGTGTTTTTAAAAAAATAATTTAATTTTATAAAATGAATTGAGAAAGTGAGGACTAGAAAACCTGAGATGAATGTTCTTCTTCTTTGATCACTTTGTGGTAAAACTTATATCAGGAGGCCAGAAGCTTTATGAAAGCTATTGTGCAGTCCAAATCTCATTGTGTGCCACACAGCTTTGTCTTTATTGAGGTTGGGACAGGCCATATTCCTCTCTGTTGGCAGCATACCGTTGACATTGTTGGAGCACATAGAGGCTAGAGAGCCTGACTGGATTGTATACATCGTATCGCAAAATGGCACAAGTTAAAGCGGAGTAATCAGCTGTGTGTCCAGTATGGTGTTTAATGGCACAACATGATGTTGATCTAAAGGAGGGGTATCATGTTTTCATATATACATAAACTTCATGGCGAAAATAAAATAAAATTTGTTTTAAGTCACATAGCGTTATCACTTTGGCATCACATACCTCTTTTTTGGCATTCTGAGCCCTTGAGGTTCATTGATGCAGATATCACACACCTACGTTCATCTCTGTGATTAGACCTATCTTTCCAGTTAGTGACTCCCAGTGTTTATAGGTCTGCTTGGATATTATCTCTCCACCGTCTTCTGGGTCTGCCTCCTGGTCAAACGGCCATTCAGTTGCCTTGTTTTCAGTCTTTGCCTCTCTGTCGTCTGCCATTCTCTCTGTATGCCCCAGCCATTTCAGTTTGTTGGCTTTTGAGCATACATACCATTGTAATTTATGGAATTGAGAGATAGAAAGATGATGAGGCCTTTAAGATAACAAAAATATGACAGGATTCTACATTTAAAGCATGAAAAGATATCGAGAAAAAGACATTTCATGGAAAGAAAATGGGGCAATTAAGACTTAAAAAGATGGTGAGAGAATTAGTTGAGAAATGAAATGATGGTAAGCGAAGGAGGTGAGACATGAACTGATGGTAAAAGAAGGAGGTGAAACATGAAATGATGGTAAGAAAAGGAGGTGAAACATGAAATGATAGTAAGAGAAGGAGGTGAAACATGAAATGATGGTAAGAGAATGAGGTGAAACATGAAAAGATGGTAAGAGAAGGAGGTGAAACATGAAAAGATGGTAAGAGAAGGAGGTGAAACATGAAATGATGGTAAGAGAAGGAGGTGAGATTTTCTTTTAATGAGAAAAGGGTGCACTTGAGACATTAAATTCCTTCAGAGTTTAAGACGAGGAACCACAAGTCTGCACACATACAAATCTTGAAAAGTGGATGTCCAGATGAAGATGGCATACACTCGCGGCACCCAGTTTGAGAACCGCTGAACTAGAAGAACAGAAGAAAAAGAAAAATTATGACAAGAACATCAGTCTTCATGCTTTAAAAATGCTTCCAAACTTTACGGGTCGCTGGCTGAATTACAACAGTCAGTGAAGTTCATACTAAAGACGCCATTGCAGATAATTTATTTCAAGCAAAAGAAATAAGTAGTTTTCATCCCTAGTTAAGCCAAAATATGGACTGATAACTTTAAAGAGCTTTTACATCAACACAGAATGATATTAGCCATTGCAACCCACCAAAAATGGATGAAACTGTTTCTCCCCATGATGCTTAACGGCATAAGTGCAAATTGATGGTGATGATGAATTATTATTTTCTTCTATTTCCCACATCTGTGATACTTCATGATAATCGATTACTGTGTCCTTATTCTTCCTTCAGAGCACCAGGAGTTGATAGTTGATCCAACATACTTGAGGCGGCTGGGGCTAGCAGCAGGCAACAGTGTGACCAGCGTCAGCGTGGATGCTGTCGGCAATCAACTTGTTGGCCTAGATGATGTGCCAGATATTCTCCCAAGTCCTAAAGTCACCTCGGGCCTGCCAGTCATTGCCAGTGCTGTCCGGCCAGATCTTTTCAAAGAGGCGGCTGTGCTGATGAAATCAGTGCAGTCTTTTCTGCCAGAGTACAAAGTTATCATGTATGATTTAGGATTATCAACTTCGGAACAAGTATTGGTAAGTGAAATCTCAATTTCAGGGCTGTGTTATGGGTTACAATTTTTTTTTTTTTATGATTCAAATGTAAAGGTCTCTGTTCCTTGCCTTGGGCACATTGGGAGGTTTTCATGGCAGAGTGGTCAAAGATTTTGCCTCCAACTCTGAAGATCATGGGTTTATTTCGTGGCTGCGCTGCTCAGTTAGTGAAAATTTTAGAGACCTATGGGGATCGTCGCTAAAGCTACAGTGTTAATGCTTTGTGTAGCACTCTCAGCAGATGGCTAGCTACTCTGTTGCTAGTGACCCTGGAGCGTTGGTATAAAACCTGATGCATAAGAGTCAATCGTCTCTACTTTAACCTTTGAGGCATATTGGGCGTAATAGGCTAGCGCCACATTTCTGTTAATCAGTTGGCACTCCACCTGTGAATGCCTGCCTGCTGACCCAGAGCTCATGGGTTCAGGTCCTGATTGAGTTGGATTTTTCTTTTTCCCTTTCAAAAATTACCTTTGCTCCGAGGTCGACCCAGCCTTGAATGAGTACCAGGTAAAGTCCTGGGAAGTAAAGGTGACTAGTGAGATGTTGACCACATCACCCACCTAGTGCAGATCGGTGTATAAAAAATAGGTCTCGGTTGTACCTGAAGGAGTGGGAAAAGGTCTTTTTACTCCACCTGTGGGTAACTGGGGCCTACATGGAAAGTGAAGACCAGTAACACCTACATGGAAAGTGAAGAACAGTAACACCTACATGGAAAGTGAAGAACAGTAACACCTACATGAGAAGTAAAGAACAGTAACACCTATATGAAAAGTAAAGAACAGTAACACCTACATGGAAAGTGAAGAACAGTAACACCTACATGGAAAGTGAAGAACAGTAACACCTACATGGAAAGTAAAGAACAGTAACACCTACATGGAAAGTGAAGAACAGTAACACCTATATGGAAAGTAAAGAATAGTAACACCTACATGGAAAGTAAAGAACAGTAACACCTACATGGAAAGTAAAGAACAGTAACACCTATATGGAAAGTAAAGAATAGTAACACCTACATGGAAAGTAAAGAACAGTAACACCTACATGGAAAGTAAAGAACAGTAACACCTACATGGAAAGTAAAGAACAGTAACACCTATATGGAAAGTAAAGAACAGTAACACCTACATGGAAAGTAAAGAACAGTAACACCTACATGGAAAGTGAAGAACAGTAACACCTATATGGAAAGTAAAGAATAGTAACACCTACATGGAAAGTAAAGAACAGTAACACCTACATGGAAAGTAAAGAACAGTAACACCTATATGGAAAGTAAAGAATAGTAACACCTACATGGAAAGTAAAGAACAGTAACACCTACATGGAAAGTAAAGAACAGTAACACCTATATGGAAAGTAAAGAATAGTAACACCTACATGGAAAGTAAAGAACAGTAACACCTACATGGAAAGTAAAGAACAGTAACACCTATATGGAAAGTAAAGAATAGTAACACCTACATGGAAAGTAAAGACCAGTAACACCTACATGGAAAGTAAAGAACAGTAACACCTATATGGAAAGTAAAGAACAGTAACACCTATATGGAAAGTAAAGAATAGTAACACCTACATGGAAAGTAAAGAACAGTAACACCTACATGGAAAGTAAAGAACAGTAACACCTATATGGAAAGTAAAGAATAGTAACACCTACATGGAAAGTAAAGGACAGTAACACCTACATGGAAAGTAAAGAACAGTAACACCTATATGGAAAGTAAAGAATAGTAACACCTACATGGAAAGTAAAGAACAGTAACACCTACATGGAAAGTGAAGAACAGTAACGCCTACATGGAAAGTGAAGAACAGTAACACCTACATGGAAAGTGAAGAACAGGAACACCTACATGAGAAGTAAAGAACAGTAACACCTACATGGAAAGTAAAGAATAGTAACACCTACATGGAAAGTAAAGAATAGTAACACCTACATGGAAAGTAAAGAATAGTAACACCTACATGGAAAGTAAAGAATAGTAACACCTACATGGAAAGTAAAGAATAGTAACACCTACATGGAAAGTAAAGAATAGTAACACCTACATGGAAAGTAAAGAATAGTAACACCTACATGGAAAGTAAAGAATAGTAACACCTACATGGAAAGTAAAGAATAGTAACACATACATGGAAAGTAAAGAATAGTAACACCTACATGGAAAGTAAAGAATAGTAACACCTACATGGAAAGTAAAGAATAGTAACACCTACATGGAAAGTAAAGAATAGTAACACCTATATGGAAAGTAAAGAATAGTAACACCTATAAGTAAAATAAAGAATATTAACACCTATATGTAAAATAAAGAATAGTAACACCTACATGGAAAGTAAAGAATAGTAACACCTATATGGAAAGTAAAGAATAGTAACACATACATGGAAAGTAAAGAATAGTAACACCTACATGGAAAGTAAAGAATAGTAACACCTATATGGAAAGTAAAGAATAGTAACACCTATAAGTAAAATAAAGAATATTAACACCTATATGTAAAATAAAGAATAGTAATACCTACATGGAAAGTAAAGAATAGTAACACCTATATGTAAAATAAAGAATAGTAACACCTACATGGAAAATAAAGAATAGTAACACCTACATGGAAAGTAAAGAATAGTAACACCTACATGGAAAGTAAAGAATCGTAATACCTGTATGGAGAGTAAAGAATCGTAATACCTGTATGGAGAGTAAAGAACAGTAACACCTATATGGAAAGTAAAGAATAGAAACACCTATATGGAAAGTAAAGAATTGTAATACCTGTATGGAGAGTAAAGAACAGTAACACCTATATGGAAAGTAAAGAATAGTAACACCTATATGGAAAGTAAAGAATGACATCTTTCTAAAAACAGCAGATACGTAACTATTATCTCTATAAACAGCTGACATGTCACTATTATCTCTCTATAAACACCTGAGACATTACTATTATCTCTCTATAAACAGCTGACACATAACTATTATGTATCCAGCTGACACGTAACTATTATCTCTCTGTAAACAGCTGACATGTAACTATTATCTCTCTATAAAACAGCTGACATGTGACAATTATGTCTCGATAAACAACTGACAGGTGACAGTTATCTCTTTATAAACAGCTGACACATAACTATCTCTCTATAAACAACTGACACGTAACTATTATCTTTCTGTGAACAACTGACAGGTAACTATTATCTCTCTGTGAACTGCTGACAGGTAACTATTATCTCTTTGTGAACTGCTGACAGGTAAATATTATCTTTCTGTGAACAGCTGACAGGTAACTTTTATCTCTCTGTGAACAGCTGACAGGTAACTTTTATCTCTCTGTGAACAGCTGACAGGTAACTATTATTTCTTAGAACAGCTGATACATAACTATTATCTCTCTCTAAACAGCTGACACATAACTATTAACTCTCTGTAAACAGCTGATACATAACTATTATCTCTCTGTAAACAGCTGACACATAACTATTAACTCTCTGTAAACAGCTGACACGTAACTATTAACTCTGTAAACAGCTGACACGTAACTATTAACTCTCTGTAAACAGCTGACACGTAACTATTAACTCTCTGTAAACAGCTGACATGTAAATATTATCTCTCTGTAAACAGCTGACACATAACTATTAACTCTCTGTAAACAGCTGACATGTAACTATTATCTCTCTGTAAACAGCTGACAAAATACTGCAACAGTACATGGAATTGTGAGACTACGCAGTTCAAATTTGACAAGTACCCGGCACACATCAAGTACTTGAACATTTGGAGTTACAGGCCATTGTGTATTCAGGTAATGTTTGTGTATGTCATGACATATTATTTATAAAAATATATAAAAATGTAAGTTAGTGTATCCTTTACAGGACGTTGCAGAACCAGCACCAGCATTGGGGGGGGGGGGGGGGGGGGGGTGGGTTTTACTAGGCAATGTATGCTCAGTAGTTTATCTGTGCTTTCTAAATGGCTGTTGCTTTTTACGTTTGTCAGGATTAATGCAGAATGGTCTGCTGTCAGATCAACAGCAAGACAATCAGACCACATATTTTGGAATTGTGGGGCAGATATGCAATGTTTAAGCCACGGATGCTGATATTTTGTGTATGGCATTATAGAACTCTTGCTGATTATTATATACTACTCCAAAAAAAAACAACCTATAGCTGTTGAAAGGGAAATTATTTTCTCATAATTTTTGACATTCAAAATCTTGGTCTTTTATTGAGTGAAATTTTTGTAATTACACACAAGAATACCTTGGGGTTCCACTAGTCAGTTGAGTTCTTTTGTATCTAGGCTATTGATAGTCTTTAAGCATATGGGCTTTCCCATCAACTGTTCCCATCGGACAACTGTTCTATTTTTGTTTTGTTTTTTGGTTTAAATATCATTATACTTCTTTACCTTGTCAGTTGTTTCAGGTAGTTTAATTGCAAATGGCTTTGCATTTTATAAAGAACATTGGGGCTTTTTAGCTGAAAAAATTCTAGAAAAAATAAAAGTTGACATTCTGAATGTCGAAGAAATCTGCCTCATAAACAGCATATTGTCTTGAAAACTAAAATACTTTGGCCATATCAGATATTGTAATGGCTCAGAAAACTTTGCAGCGACTTGGAAAGAACAGTAGTGGATGGCATGGTACCAGACAGAGCTACCTTAACAGCATTATAGGCTACTGGATAAACCAGTTTGCTGGGGCTCCTACGACAACCACTCACATGAATGACATTTATATTTATAGCAAGTAGTTTGATATACATAGATTAGCAAAGGGGACCCCGGAGAAGTACCCAGCAGGCCAGTGCATTAAGATGGCAATGGTAACATTGAAGTGGTTCCTCTTCTTCTTTTGTCATCTCACTGATACCAGGTTATAGCCCAGTGTTGTGGATTTGTCGTCACACTGATACCATGTTGTAGCTCAGAGTCGTGGTTTTGTTGTCTCACTGAAACTGGGTTGTAGCCCAGTGTTGTGCTTTTGTCATCTCACTGATACCAGGTTGTAGCCTAATGTCGTGGTTTTGTCATCTCACTGATACCAGGTTGTAGCCTAATGTCGTGGTTTTGTCATCTCACTGATACCAGGTTGTAGCCTAATGTCGTGGTTTTGTCATCTCACTGATACCAGGTTGTAGCCTAATGTCGTGGTTTTGTCATCTCACTGATACCAGGTTGTAGGCCAGTTTAGTGGTTTTGTTGTCTCACTGATACCAGGTTGTAGCCCAGTGTCATGGTTTACTTTTGTTGTCTCACTGATACCAGGTTGTAGCCCAGTGTCATGGTTTGGTTTTGTAGTCTCGCTGATACCAGGTTGTAGCCCAGTGTCGTGGTTTGGTTTTGTCGTCTCACTGATACCAGGTTGTAGCCCAGTGTTGTGGTTTTGTTGTCTCACTGATACCAGGTTGTAGCCCGGTTTTGTCATCTCACTGATACTAGGTTATAGCCCAGTGTTGTGGTTTTGTCATCTCACTGATACCAGGTTGTAGCCCAGTGTCGTGGTTTTGTCATCTCACTGATACCAGGTTGTAGCTCAGTGTTGTGGTTTTGTCATCTCACTGATACCAGGTTGTAGCCCAGTGTCGTGGTTTTTTCGTCTCACTGATACCCAGTGTCGTGGTTTTGTCATCTCAGATATGTCAGGTTTTGACGTCTCACTGATACCAGGTTGGAGCCCAGTTTGGTGGTTGTGTTAAGTCGCTGATACCAGGTTGTAGCCCATTGTTGTGGTTGTGTTATCTCACTTATACCAGGTTGTAGCCCAGTGTTGTGGTTTCGTCGTCTCACTAATACCAAATTGTAGCCCAGTGTTGTGGTTGTGTCGTCTCACTAATACCAAATTGTAGCCCAGTGTTGTGGTTGTGTCATCTCACTTATACCAGGTTGTAGTCCAGTGGTTGTGGTTTTGTTGTCTCATTTATACCAGGTTGTAGCCCAGTGTTGTGGTTTTGTTGTCTCACTGATACCAGGTTGTAGCCCGGTTTTGTCATCTCACTGATACCAGGTTGTAGCCCAGTGTTGTGGTTTTGTTGTCTCACTGATATCAGGTTGTAGCCCGGCATTGTGGTTTTGTTGTCTCACTGATATCAGGTTGTAGCCCGGCGTTGTGGTTTTGTTGTCTCACTGATATCAGGTTGTAGCCCATTGTTGTGGTTTTGTTGTCTCACTGATATCAGGTTGTAGCCCGGCGTTGTGGTTTTGTTGTCTCACTGATATCAGGTTGTAGCCCAGTGTTGTGGTTTTGTCATCTCACTGATATCAGGTTGTAGCCCAGTGTCTAGGTTTTCTATATTTTTCTTGTGCTTCTTGGGTGACTTGGGTGATGGATTTGTTCTTTTTTTGTAGGTTTCTGCTACATCATTTATCCATCTCTTTCTTGGTCTTCCTCTCACCTTTCTCCTAGGTGTTCTATGGTAAAAAGTCTCAAATGCAGTTTTGTCTGCCTGCATTCTTACTAGATGGCCAGACTATTTAATTTGTTTTCAATATAATTCAGAAGGCCTTTTCCCGACTTTCTCTGTAATGCTGGTATTGGTTACCCATTCGCATTTCACATGAAGTTATTTTCTCAAAGGGGCTAACCAGCACTTAAGTGAGTGCAGGACCTAGGAGTTAACTTGGTCAGGAAAGTGCTGGAGCTGGCAGGGAACCGGGTTTCTTTTGGGCAGGTTGTGATGGGACTGACCTTCTGTAAAGGGCCAGCTACATAATGGTGACTGATGTAGAGCTCAGAACAATCAAAAGTAAGAAGAATGACAAGTGTTAGGTTTGGTTTGCAAAGTCTTGTCAAGGTATGCAGCAAATGACAGTTTAGAAAGATTACTAGAAAAATTACAGTTCAGAAGATCACTTGAAAAATTACAGTTCAGAAAGATCACTTGAAAAATGACAATTCAGAAAGATTACTAGAAAATGGCAATTCAGAAATATTACTTGAAGAATTACAATTCGGACAGATTGCTTGAAGAATTACAATTCAGAAAGATTACTTGAAAAATGACAATTCAGAAAGATCACCGGAAAAATGATAATTTAAAAAAAATAACTAGAAAATGGCAGTTCAGAAAGATTAATTAAAGAATTACAATTCAGAAAGATTACTTGAAAATGACAATTCAGAAAGATTACTCGAAAAATGACAATTCAGAAAGATTACTACTAGAAAAATTCAAAAAGAATCCTACTAGAAAAATTCAGAAAGATTATTTTGTATTTATGTAACTCTATAGTAACACACCTGCTGAAATATTCCTGGCACAAAATTGTGCTGTGTATTTTGTTGGTTCTGCGTTGTTTAAATGAAGCATCAGAAAACATTGTTTCAGAGATGACTAGTATTGTTTGTGGACATGAATGTGGTGATTAACATACAACATGGTGCTCTACAAAAAACAGGAAACCTTGAACAAGTACGGGGCGGTGATTTGGGTCGATGATGGTCATTACTTTATCAATGGTAACCTGAGCAACACTTTGTCGCGGGCCAGGGAGTTTGGCATTCAGGGCTGGACCATCAAGGACCCTACTTCATCCTTTACTCACCTGACGATGTTCAAATTCTTCAACATGGATCAGGGTTCCTATTATTTCCAGGTAAAATAATGTTTAAGGTGTGTCTATGAGTTCTTTGTGAGTATGCTTGTGAATGATACATTTACTGGTTCATCATCATCATGTGCCCTGCCAATTGGCGAAGGTGCTCATGCGTCTCCACAGATCACGATCCCTGGTTGCCCGGAACAGCTTTCTTGTTGATATCCCTCCATGCCATAACTTCAGCCCATCTAGCATCATATCTCTTGGTCTGCCTCTAACCCTCTTTCCAGTTGTCACGATGTTCTCCAATGTCTCTCTTCTCATTATATGGCCAAAGAACAGTGTTTGTCTCTTTCTTATTATTTACTGGTTACTTAGAGGAAAAACGCCAGCGGCCTGTGTTATCTTCTTCTTCAGTGATCTCTGGTCATGCACATAATACACAGTGAGCCATAAACTGGGATGTCACTCAAGGTCTCTTAAGTTTCCCCAAAGCTTAGTTGTCAAGTCTACAGGGTGTTGCCACAAGGTGCTTTGCAGCTGCGCCAAGAGAGGACAGTCTTGCAAGATGCATTCTGGACTCGCATCCTTAAAAAAAATTAAAAAAACACAGCCATTTACACAGCACAAGAAAAATGCTAACAGTTTTTTTTTTATGGACAATAACAATGTTAATTTCTGATACAGAATAAGAGAAGTAAACATGAGTGCAACAGAGAACTGACTTACTACTCTTTTACTGTTAAAATCTTTTAAATGAGGACACATACTTGATCTCTTGGAGAAAAGCAGAGGTGGAAAGCACAAACCAAAGGTCAAAACTTTCAATTATGACATTCAAGGGCAGGTTGCGGATTGTAAACTAAGGCGAGACAAGCGCATGAATCAACACGGAAAGAAGAAAAGCTAGGATCAGCCTCCTTGGTGGAATGGTAACATGAAAAAAACCTGGACGGATCAGCGTTGTGCTGTAAAGAAATGGCAAAATACCAAAAGAACTAACTGCCCAGCCTAGTCATATCCTACATCTGGAGACATGGGAACACAAGTTGGTTGCTTCAAAACTATACATCCCAGCCCGCCCCAGGGATCACCATTGTCTCCCATGCTGTTTAACGTTTACACAGTGAGAATCACAAGTGAGCAGATCACAGGAAGGGGGAAGAGGCTGTCAAACGCTGATGAAGTGTTAAAGTGTATTGGCAGGGTAAAGACAGCAGGTTGCTGGAGAACTACAGACAGAACTTTACCCCATAAGCAATTGGTGTTGTGAAGCCTGTGGGTTGGTCAATCCAACGAATGCAGCAGTGACGTGGTTGTCTCTAGATAAGCAGGACTGAGGAGGGGATTAGAGCACAAATTGACTAATTGGATTGATGTGCAGTGAGAATAATCAGTTGACTAACTTTACTTTTCTGTTACTTGTCCCTCTGCAGCATGCGGTCGAGTCCTCCCACCTAGTGGTCTACAACACAGAGAAGATCGCCAGGGACCTGATGCTGCCCTGGGTGAAGTGCGCTCTCTTGGAAGAGTGCATCAGTCCGCCTGGGGCTCAGAACTCTGGTTGTAACTATTTCCGACGCCCCCTGTACAAGTACTCGGGCTGCCACCGCTATGACATGTCTGCACTGAACATTATCCTCGGCAAGGCATTCAAGTTCGAGGAGGAGCTGTACACCAGCAAGGACAAGGTGTTTGGCAGTTTGTTACATGACCAGATGTTGGCCGAAAACAAAACGGGTCCAGAGTATGATATGCGTTTAGGAGTGAATCAGCAAGTGAAGATTTAAGACAAAGTATAAATTTTTGCAGTCTTGTTTCTGCTGTCTGAAAAGTTATATCCCTTTTATTTCACATCTACTGACCTTTGAACTGATGTTTCTCTCTTTCTGTGCCAAGACTGCACATAGTTTATTTGTTCTTGTTCTATCACTTTCTTCTTTTTTTTTTTTTTTTTTTTTTTTTATATTTCATTTTTTAAATGTCCTCTTGTTTTGCAGACCCCTAGCCACAAAGTAGAGATTAGTGGTGTTGACCAAACAATGGGTGTTTTTGGGTATCTTCTCCTCCTTTGTGTTTACCCTTAAAACGCACATTGAGTTAGGTTGTGATATCTGAGCCTGTCACTGAAACACATCTAATTTCAGCAATCCACCAGTTAGCCATCTTTTACAGCATGCTCGTTAAAGGCGGCGGCGAAAGGGGGGGGGGGGGCTGTTCTCTCCCCCTCCCTCACTCTTCCCTCAGAATGGGGAAGGACGGATTATTTCTGAAATGATAGATAAATATGGAACAGCTCCCTTGGTACAGCTGAGAGGGTTATTTCATTTGTTAACACCATCGGGAAAATTGTCGTGGAGGAAATTGAATCCCAGAAAGAACTGATTACTTACATCAGATGGGGACAGTGTACATTCTTTGTTCGTGGAGTTGTGCATTCACACACACACACACACCCCACCCCCCTCCAACTGCAATTACTGCCTATAGTTGCCATGTTTGCTGTGGAGAGGGTTCTTTGAACCTGAGAGTTTAGGGCTGTCACTATGGACTGATTTCGAATTTTATTTTTGCCCTCGCAGAAAAAAATCCACAGCCTTACGGAGGATTCGAACCTGGGTCTCCCTCATTAGAGTCCAGCGTTCTTAGCTGTTCAGCCAGCCGCTGCTTAAGGGAAAGGATGAGATGGATATACAATCAGCGTGTTACTGATGCCATCAGAATTGGAACTCTGCACTTGATGCTGAAGATGGGGATAGAGTGCTGTGATTCAACATTCTTTGGTTAGCCATGTGAAGGGAAAGACTGGGGAATGTCATGACAGTGAGAAAATTGAAGAGGAAAAGATGCAGGGGCATACCAAGAAAAAAGATGGGGACAATTTGATATCATAGCAGAGAAGGTCTTCTTCTTTATGATTCTCTTCCTCCACCTACCCCATCAGAATGTTCACATGAGATTTGTGGAGCTTCTGTAGGATCTTTCTACTGCTCTTTCCTTGTCAATGTCTGTGGCTTAGGCATTTTGAACGTGCTTTATAGTGCCAGGTTTGATCCTAGCTTCAGGCAGTTTGATAGCTGATCGTCTTGCATTGGTTTTGACGGTGGTATCAAGAGTCAACAGAAAGAATTGGCAAACTACTGAACGTAAATTCGCCTGGAAAAACCACGACATCCCAAAAAGTGCTTGGGTTGGTTCTGCAATGTCCTGAAGAGGATACACAACTAACTAACTTCTAATGCATGGCATAAATTGATCTTCACTTAAATTTTTTTTTTCCAGTTGGTTTTTTCCTTTTTTTTTGCCGTGGTCTTACCCTCTCTTAGTGTTCATTATATTTATTCTGCATGGCTCTCAGTGACAGTTAGTACCGAGCGTTCTTCTCAGATGGTCAACCATCTTATCTGTCGCTGTCTAGAATAGCATCTATATCAGGAATGATTGACAGTGCATGAGACAGAAGGTTGTGGGCTAGTATGGCTACCAACACCATTGAATATGTGAAGAGGAATTATCGTCATTAACCGAAGTTGTTTTTCAAGTTTCACTCATTGTTTATCAGTCAATTAAAGCTTATTTTATCATTGAAATGTTTAGAAAACAGTTCATGGTATCATTGGAATGCTTGGAGGACAATTCATAGTATCATTAGAATATTTGGAAAGTAGCTCATGGTATCATTAGGATATATGGAAATGGCTCATGGCATCATTGAAATGTTTGAAAAAAGCTTATGGTATTGTTGGAATATTTGGGAAAACAGCTTATGGTATCATTTGAGTGGTTAGAACAATGAGGATGTTGTATCATTTATTTCTAATTCCTAACTCAGCCGTATAAAATCTTGCACTGTCGTTTAGCTAAAATATGTCACTTTTTCATGTTGTCTCTAATAGTATTTTCCCCCCCCCCCCCCCCCCTTTCCCCGCTATTGCCCTTAAAAGAGCAGTAAGCACATTGTGTTGTGGTTTAAACAAAGGCTGTGATATCTACATCTTTCAGCCCAATACATCAGATTTCAGCAAACTGCTAGTTACCTTTTACAGAAGAATACTTGTTAGGGGCACACAGTGGGACCCTAATACCCACACAGGGCTTTAAAGTATTATCTGTGATTGTTACAGTGTATGCTAGGTTGTGTTTGCTTTGCTATTTGTACATATATGTTAACCATGCTTGCGCTAAGTCATATGTAAGCTGTCAAAGTATACGGGTTCATCAAGAATGAATGCCAGGAATTAAAACTGTTTTTTTTTTAAAGAAGTATTTAATGGATAGACACTCGTGACGTCTTAGAATGTTCAGCAAAGTGTACAGTTTTGTTTGGCCTTGTGTTTGCGAGATTTAAACATCTAGTATCTTAACTTAAAAAACACTGAAAAGGTAAAGAACATCCAGCACCTTAACACTGAGGAGATGAAGAACATCCAGCACCTCAACTTAACACTGAGGAGATAAAAAAAAAAACATTCAGTGCCTCAACTTAGCACTGAGAAGATAAAGAACATACAGCACCTCAACTTAACACTGAGGAGATCAAGAACATCCAGCACCTCAACTTAACACTGAGGAGATAAAGAACCTCCAGCACCTTAACTTGAAACAACACTGAGAAGATAAAGAACATCCAGCACCTTAACTTGAAACAACACTGAGGAGATAAAGAACCTCCAGCACCTTAACTTGAAACAACACTGAGAAGATAAAGAACATCCAGCATATTAACTTTAAAACAACACTGAGAAGAAAAAGAACATTTAACACCTTAACTTAAAACAACTCTGAGAAGATAAAGAACATTGAGCACCTTAACTTAAAACAATGCTGAGAAGAAAAAGAACATTGAGCACCTTAACTTAAAACAACACTGAGAAAATAAAGAACATTGAGCACCTTAACTTAAATCAACAGTGAGGAGATAAAGAACATTGAGCAAGATCACTGATAATAGCCGTGAGATGAAGACAATGGGATTTATGGGCAATGTTCTTTAAAAAATGTTCCAAAAAAATCACAAATTTTTAACCAAAGAAGCTCAGGATATAAGGCAAGAGGAAGACCAAGGAAACCGTGGATTGATGGGGCCTCCGAAACCTGCCAAAAGCATGGCCTCAGAACATCAGATGCTGCCCGCCTTGCTTATGACAGGAACTTGCATCTCCCCACAACGCTTAGCGGCATACGTGGAAGGAAAAAGTAAAAGTAAAGTAAGTTCTTTAAAAAAAAGTTCACAGCGGTTCTGACCAACTGAAACGTGAGCGGGTTTTGCTAGTCACACTCGCCGTTACCATGGGCTATGAGTCCCATGCCTGTCTTCATAGCAGAGCATGACACTATCATCCCGAAAGACAGAAAGGTGCCACAGTGAAGAGAATAAATGCTTGGCTCAGCTGTTAATTAGGAAAACTTGAAAAGGGGAAGACACAAAACTGCAGTCTTGTACATGTAAACTCTGGTTTTCCACATTCATTAATGAAACCTTTAAGACTTCCTTATGGCAGAATCACTTTCCTACATATGTGTGGTTAACCTCAAAAAAATGTAGTGTACAATTTAAAAAAAAAAATATGTATTATAGTTTATAAATCAATGAGATATTTATTGTACGTGCAGGTGGTTCTGTATGCTGTTTGTTTCTGTTCATTTTTATGTGTGTATATGTTTTGTATTGAAATTCTAATGGCAGAATGTTTGCGTTGACACCTCTGGTGGTTGCTTTGTGCATTTAATGCATGTGTATGCTGTTGATTTTGTCAGGGCTGCTGTCTGTTAACACTTGTTACAGGGAATGATAGGTGCTGTTTAATGTGCAGGTGGTAAATGTGCGAATATTTAATGCAGATGGTTGTGTGCGCTAATTGGTTTCATTTATATCCATGCATGTATGTGGACTTCTAGTAATTTCCCCTGGTCTCTGGTTAGTAAGATCAGACGCCCGTGTGTATTGTTTCCCACGTAAAATATCCCCAGGCAATTGGAAATTGAAAAGAGCAGCCTAACGGCACTGCCCGGGCAAAATATGGAGTTAGGAATCTACCCAAAGTATTTTAGGATCCTCACCGGTGCAACAGAGTTCATGCACTGCGCTGAGATTCTTCAGACTCAGACTTGAGTTAGAAGTAAAACGGAGCACTCATGGGTAACTAACTACCCTTGTGCCATGATGTTGATCTGTCAAATAAACATAAACGTGTATGTACAGGTTTTTTTATTTTTATTATTCAAATGACAAGACTGTTGATTTTGGCACCTTTGCTGGCTGCCTTATGCATTTAATGCATGTGCATGCTTTTTGGAAGAGGGGATGTACTGTTGTCTGTTATTTTTTTTTTACATGGGATAAATATTTTTTTTTACCTGGGATAATGAAATTGTATTGTTTTCTCTGGCAAAGGAACAGAGTATGCATGGGGTGACCAACCTTGTTGCAATGAAATGGGAACAGTGATTGTCAGACATATGTTTTTTCCTGATTGGTTGCATTAATACCTTCTTCTTCTTCTTTCGTTCGCATGCATTAATACCAATGTGTATACTTGTTTAAATTTTAAAAAAAAATGAAGTCTGCAGACTTTTTTTTTTTTCTGAAAATTAAAAGCATGGTTTTTAATATTTGCTTTATAAAATAATGTAAGAGTTTGCCTTAACTTTTTTTTTTTTGTTTTTTTTTTTTTGCTTGAATGGAATATACTAATTTTAAACATTATTTTGCTTTAATTTAAAACTCACCGATCAGTTGTCGGGAATGTCTTTTGCTTTAACTTACACTCTGACTTTGTTTTATAGTTGT